TGAGGAAGAGCCTGATCAATACATGAGGTGGTTTTAATGAAAAATATTGGTTTTGTCAGTCGATAATTAACATGACACTGTGTTTTTCTCCACATGTGATTTGGGCTGGATGTGGAGTTTGTTCAGTTGCCAACAGAGAAGCATCATCTACTCAAAAACGCAGTGTCACGCTCAAGAACATACATTTCTGCCTTAAATCTTTAAAAAGGTCCTATGTTGTGCTCCCTAATTAATCAAATCTAACATGTCTCCACAGTGAGGCTTTAATTTTTCAGCTCATAACAACAAAAATGGTAATTTCACTGTAAAACTCCTGGTTTTAGCCCTGTTCTCAGTGGTCTGTAGTTTTCAGTACAGCTAAGCTTCTGATATCAACTCCCCTTCAGGAAGAAAACTCTCTGTGATTGGCAGCGCGGAGCCAAACAGCCGATCGTGATTGAGTGTACAAGACCGATACTTTTTATCACTTCCAGCTTTCAATATCGCTGAACTCACAGCACACCCGCTCTTTTTATTTCCTTCTTATGGTGAGTTTGTCAAACATCGCTGCAGTTATAAAAATCAAGTGTTTAGCGGTGAAGAGCTGCAGCTTGGTAACGGGTTAATGTTGGGTCTTGATGGGCTGGGTGTCAGTCACTATTTCATACTTGGTCTCATGACAGAAAAATATGTAAAAGAGAAGAGCTTTATTGGGAATATTAAATGTGAGCACAGAGAGCAGGAGAGAAGCAAACGGATGTAAACACTGGAGGAGCTTCAGAAGCACAACAAGCACCCTGAAAACACAGTAACCACCCCGTGCTTGTTAACTGGTTTCAAACTGGTCTTACATTCATCTCTGAAAGTCCCTCAGCGTTACAGTTTCCAAAGAGCTCTGACTTGTGAGCTAATGGTAATGTTAGCCACATTAGTTGCGCAAAGCGCCAACACTGAGGCGTTTCCTGTCATTGTGGTGATATTGCCATCAAAGTAAAGTTCTCCACCAGATCTTCAGTTCTTCGGATGCTGGGAGTGCATGAAGATGCTTGTGTTCCCTCTTGCAGCCCACGGCAGAACATTTGATGAACTTTGATTGTGAATGAGCCGAATCTAGAAGGTAAGCAAACCTACGAGGGAGTTGCTTATTGTAACGGCTCATTTTGTTGTTAGAAAAATTTTGAGCTACAACACTACTGGTTTCTCGGCTGGTGTGCTGCAGCTCAGGAAGTAAACTTTTTCATATATTATGCGACCTTTAAAAGCTAAATGAATAGGATTCTTTGGAAAATGTGGAGAATTTGTTATAAAAAATACAGGGGCATATAACTGTGCAATGCGATCTGGGACACAGAAATGTTAAATTCATGTTGCAGCGCTACGACAGGAAACAGAGTCAGATCCAGTAACTGGGACGGCCTGAATCTATAGAAGAACTGTAGAAATGTACCTGCTAAATACTGTTATAATACCTTCCTCACAAATCCAGCATTGACTAGTCTCAAACGCTGACAAACCTGTAGTGTCGTCTTGCCACAAGGCTGGACGCCACTCGGCCCTCCCTCTCTCCGACGCCACAGTTGCCGAGGAAGTTGTTGCTGTCCATCACAGCCAGCTCGTTCAGGAAGAGCTCGACGGTGCTCTCGCTCCATCCTTCCTCTGGACACTTACCCTGCAACACAAACGCATAACGTGAATAACGGGATGCGTCTGCGGCCACCTTTCGGGAGGAAATGCTGACTTTACCTGCTCCAGTAAGTGTCTGATGAGCTGTTCGTGGCTACGACGTGCCTGAGATCCCTGTCGAACGTAGGACGCAGACACTATCTTCTCACTCAGGGTCAAGTTTTCACTGTTCATCTCTGCCAAACACAAAGCTTCATGTTGACGTGAACAAAACACAGATCACACAGTTTGTCTTAACTCTAACGCTGTTTTTTGGACTGCAAAATGTTCTACTTTGCTTGAAAGAGGCCTAAAATCTGGCCACATGTTTTTTTTTAAATTACTGAAGTGAAAAGAAGTCAATACAACACTTTCAGCGAATATGCATTTTAATTCTCGGACTTCAACAACAGGAAAAAGACAGTTTGACCTGTAGACGACACAAAAAGGTCAAGGTAACTTTGACCGTGCTGATTTCACCCCTCGTTTCTTTGATGTGTTCATATTTCTCATGAGTCTCCTCACCTTCTGAAACCCAAATAATAAATTGTAGGAGAGCCTCCTTATACATTCCATTCACATTTAATGAACAGAAATAACAGCGAGTAACCAAACAAACCTGGCTTCAGAGTACATGAACATGAATCTGGTAAAAACATATTTCATATAAGTGTGTATGACTCTCCCCAGATCTCCATTTTTTTTTTTAGTTGTTTTATTTTTACAAACATAAGAACAATTTTACAAGACATCACTGGATCTATTCATCTGTCTTTCTGATCCAAATTAAGGCCCTTGAAAATATACCATATAGTTGATAACAGACTATTTCAAAAGAGCAGTTACACAGTTTAGTAAAACTGATAAAAACAAGAACTTTCAAGGTGCGTCTTTACATTTAATTATAGCTGTAAATCATTATGAATCGGACTAATTCCAAGACACACAGTTTGAGAACCTGCAGTCCAGCTAGCTAGTATTCACTATGATATTAATATTGACTATTATATTGCAGTAACTCGAAAGTAGCTTCTGGTTTATAATGAAAATGTGTTTCAGAGTTACCTTGAGAACAGACTACAGTGCATAGCTATTAAAAGTGTTGAGTTAGAATCAGTGAAAGTCAAAAAAGGTGTCCCACAAGGCTCGATTCTGGGGNGTGAGGATTAAGCAGTGTATAGATAATGGATGGATGGAAATGCGCTACTTCAGGTGTGATGCAGCCTCCTCTCTTCGTCTATCATCACTGTTAGGTCTCAGAAATGTTTCCCCAAGCAGAGATTGCAAAAACTTAAGAAGCACAAGTCGCTGAGACAAACCAGGAAATTAGCTGCTCTCACAGCGGCTAAGGCTAACGGCTGGAACACAATAATTAATAATGCTTTAAGATCTGGACTTCAGTGGACAATAAACGTGAAGCAACAGTGCAAGATAAAGAAAACGAGACGTGACTGCAGGAGACAAACTGATCAATCTCAGTTGATCCCACATAAACAGAGAAGACAATCATACTTTAATCACTCCTACTTCAGTTGTACACATTCAGTTACAGTCCTCCTTATTAATGAAGAAGCCTCGTTATAACTGACAGGTTCCTGCAATCACATGCTGTTAAACCATCCTTTCTCTGATCCATCAGCCCTGAACAACCCCCAGTCTTTACATTATTATTTCTGTGCAGCAAAGACACTTCACGTGGCGCGATGAAACATCAGTCCTGAGGTTCTAACCTCGTCCCACATTTCAACCTCCTGCACAGCCTGTGAACAGGAAGCAGGCCTGACAGGACGTCGTGTACTGTCGTCACGTGCTCACCTGCTGTGATCATGGATTTGAAACAGGACTTCTGGTCGATGCGGGGCCAGATGATGTAGCGAGCCTTGGGTCTGCGGTGACGAAGGGTCAGGAAGCACAGAGTCAAGCTCATTCCCGTTGCCATGGGAACCACGAAGCAGCTCGCCGCACTCCGGACGCCTGTCGGAAGAAACGGAGCGCGTTTATATGTCACGTGCTGAACGTTTCAGAGAGACCGCCGCCGTCACTGCAAACACTGTCCTGACTGACTCCGAACGTTCAGCTTTAATTTGAACAGTTTTATTTTATTTTCTTTGTCGAGTACAGCAGCTGTTCTGTACATACATTTTTAAACTTGTGGTTTTCTGATGTGTGTTGTGATATGTAAATTGCTGTAAAGTCCAATAAAGTCCTCTATAGTCTGAGCTAGCTGATAGCGAAGGTGGTGATGCATTTACCTTGTTGTCCCCCCAACAATGTGCACACAAACCAAGCATGGACGGTGCAGGGAAGAAATCCGCTGCAAAGATTAATCTGTAAGTGAACGCGTCTGGCTGCTCGCTGTTGTTTTGTATTTTCAAACATCCACGTAGACATGACACGGCTTTCCTGACGTTTGCTAAAATGTATGAGTACTCTGAAAACCTACAATTGAGCAGCGCATCAAACTGTGAATGAAACACGCATCCAAAGCCACATTCTTCTAACGGTTATGTGTTGTTTCCAAGCATCATGTGGTGTCCCATCCTTCCTTTTTATACCACTTCAACCCTCACAAACTCACACACTTGCTATTAAAGCTAAGAGAGTTGGTGCTTTGGTCTCAGAGAGGAGATTGGAGATTGGGTTTTGTCTTTTTACAAGTCAGAATCACAGCAAACACCCTGGAAGCCTCTGTCTCTCACCCAATGTCTTAGTGGTTTGCCTGCATGGACACAAATTTTCTTGGCAGCAGAGTCGCTGGTTCGATTTCTGGCCACCTTGGCTGCATGTCAATCCTATACTATCTTCTTCACATTTCACGTCTTGTATATACTGTTCCTATTCAATAGTTCCATTGAACTGATTTTTATTCGATGGTTTGACACAGTTTCAACAGAAAAAACCCATTTTGTAGTGATTGTACACTTCCACTTTCTAAATCTCTTGTCCAATGCCTGTAACATCTTGCACGACTACTCAGTCTTTCTGGGAGGGGCAGTACCTGTTTTTCATCACCGATAAGATGCACACACCTGCAAGTCTTAAGACGTCCAGCACAACCGAGTTGGTCAGTTTGTTGAGGAGACTGGATCCTGCAGCTTTAGGCTGAATAGCAGCGATGTCACCCGACCGGCCGATGCCATGGATCAGCCTACACGAAACGGCACAGTGTCACCACAGGAACAGT